TCGACCTCGAAGACAGCAGTGGATACGTTGCTTTCAGTTTGGCCGACGCAGGTGATGTCCGAGCGATCGTACGTCTTCATGCCGCCGTCAAATACTTCGCCCGATTTCACGACGTAGACCTCAGGGAAAGTGACATGACCTTGACTAATTGGCTAAGATGAGGGCTAGGCAGCTTTACAATCATCTGCACCCCGCGTTTGAATGTGTAATAGTACATAGTAATATATGAATGTACATGCATATCGTTGGGTAAGTATAAAATAATAAGGCTTTCATTTCACGGAATAAGTTACTTGGGGAATTACGTTGATGGATGTCTTGAATTCAAGAGTTTAAAAGAGCAGGTCGTCATTAGCGATGATGAAATCTATAAATACGCTAAGGGAAACACAAGATGCGAAGAATCGCGACTGATACCAAAACTAGCTTTTGTTTCTTTCTTGCCAGCAATTCTACCTTTGCAATTGTTTAGACACAAATAGTTCGTCTCGCCGAGGAGAACGTGCCGATGGAATATACGTGGAGAGCGATTGGTACAGCCGAGGGAGAACTACTGGCAAACAAAAAGCTCGATAAAATGCGCTCTCTGCATGTCTACACTAACAACAAGAACAAACACTGCTCGATATGCAAGGAGAACACTGATGGACACAAGATGAGGTACAAAATGTGGTACTGTGTTTCATCAACTTGCAACACGACTGGTGAGAAATGCCCTTATTGGTTGAAGCTTCTTCAATGTTTTGCAACGGATATCTACTCATTTTATGAGCATGAAAACCATCTCGCCAACGTCGGATCCCCCAAAGAAAGAGTGTTTACCCTTGCGATGAAACCCAAAAGCCGGACAATGATCACTGATGGGGTTAAACCAGCACGCATACGGAATAGCCTGATTGACCAATTCTCGATGGACCGGAGCACTGTTCCAGAGTTGAAGACAATTCAGAATTTTGTGTACAACTACAAACGATCCACCCTGATGAATACCGATTTTGTTGACGATGTGATTTCTCTCGCCAAGGAATCGCGTTACAGCCCTGAACTTGATGATTTGACCCCGTTTTCGTTTGGATACAAATTGGATAACGATGGAAATCCAGTGTTGGGAGATGGAAACGATGAGTATCCATTTATTGTAGCCTTTTCAACAAAGTACATGCTACGGCAACTGTATAGATCTCTCGGAGAATTTGTATTTCACATGGATGCTACGTTTAAGTTGACCACGAAATATTTCCTTTGTTTTGTTTGGCATATCAGATGCCTCCAGACATTTTCACTGCGTCGCGCTTTTCATTACTTCTCAAAGAACGCATGTACAATACGCTGCAGCACTAAACGCAATTTTATCTCAATTTCGTGAGGTGGTTGGACGCAGCGTTAATGTAACGTATTTTTTGGGGATGCTGAGGAGGCTCAATTGAACGGGTTCGAAGAGAGCATTGGTATGTCGACCGACAGTGACTACCTCATGTGCTTTTCCACGTGGTTTCCAATGTAAAGAAGCGTCTGAGTGGAATTTCTGAACAATCCATACAAATAATTTTTCGAGATATATATGACCTTCACTACTCTCAGAAATGCGGATGAATATGAGTCAACAAAGACGTCTGCCTTGGTGAGATGGGATGCACGTTCTGATCTGGCGGATTTCATATCTTACTTTGAAAAGCAGTGCTTAAGTTCCAAGTTCAATAAGTGGCAGTGTTTCCGTTCCCCGTGTGGGTTTGCCAAGATGAACAACCCAGCAGAGACTTTCAACAAAATGATTAAACGGGACTACAGCTTACATGTTCGCCTGAAAATGGCTGATATAACTCAAAAATTGCTGAAGCTTTGTCGGCATCAATCAGTGACAGGTCGTGATTTTACTA